CCAAAGCTGTTCCCCAGCCAATATAATTGTAAGAGATAATTCCTTCCCAAGTGCAGGACTTTGCATTCGTTTTTTCAATAAGCTTTTAACATGTCAAAAGGCCCTGACTTCATCTTCTGCTCTGGGGTATCCCTCTCTGTCCTGCCTCCCGACTACTCAAAATACCCCTGAGCATAACAAAGGTGTCTCCTGACTTTTTATCATAATATTTCTGTTCCACACAGAGCATCATTGCACAGTGGTATCTTAGGAATACTGTGGGCAATTATAAAAGATATAGGGAAGCTCTCTGTTGACACTAAACACTTAGAAAATTCCTACTGATTCTGATTTTATTCATCAAATATTGATCTGGAATCCACTTCACCCTCATGTTTTCTCAGTCACCTGATACAGAAGTTCAGACTTTTCTCTACATTAACGTCAACTTCCCCCTGCTGCTGTGAATCCCAGCAGATACAAGTATGCACTGCTTTCTCAGCCCTTAACAACTTTCTAAAACTATCAGAAACACTTTAGGAGAGAGGAAAAGAAAAAACTATGGTCCCTACAGTTGAACATCCTCACCAACACGCTGAATGTTAGCTTTTTGTTCAGGCTTGAACTCTGCTGTTCTCACCAGATGGATGGATGATTTACCAGGTTTCAACTTTTTTGTTGGTTTTTTGGTTTTTTTTTTAAACTAACAGCGTCTTAACAGTTTCCAGCTAGTAATACATGTTATTCGAAGAGTCATGCATGCCTACTTGTGAGAGACTAGCTACAGAGAGGCATCAGCTGTAAAAGCATGGTGGGAGTTCATGGTTATAAAAGGAATACAAGCTTTAAGTGAAAACCCACAGACTCCTTGCAACAGTGAATAGCATTTGGATTATTATTTCAGTGAACTGACTTTGCCAAAAAGATATCTCTGACTCAGTCAATTTCTGCTCTGACAAATCTTGCAGTTAATGAGGATGTATGGACTACAAGGATGTACGGATGTTTGGCTTGGGGCATAATTTGCCCCTCAAATGCAGCATAGTTAATAGCTGGAAGCAATCACATGTACAGTGCTTTTAATCACAGTATGACAAATCAAAGTGTAACAATTATTTCCTTACAAGCAAGCTCTGTATTCCAATAAACCCATGATTAATTACATCAACATTACTTGAAAAGTGTAAGAGGAAAGGTTTGCAAAAGAGGCAGCTCACGAAATCCGCATTTGCTTGTTATTCTCAGTGTTTCTGGAAGAGACTGAGTTTAAAACTCATGACAAAGCCATAAGGCACAGGATGGACTGTGGAAATTTCACTTATTTTGGAAAGAAAAGTTAGAGTACGGCAATCCTGGAAATGATTTAATATATCTGCTTTTTATTTTCCTTTTTGAGTCATTATCTCACTCTTAAAAGAAGCACAAGGCACTGAAAGTCTCCATGATATAACTTTTATGTCAAAAGAATAACTTATACTCTTTTAATTGAGCTATGACTTCCAAATATCCTATTATAAAGCTCATTTTCCTCAAACATAAAATGTAG